TTCAAGGAAGGCAGAGGAAGTGATGAGAAGCCAGAACATGGAAGCTGTTTGATCATCCTGTTTGTGAGAATGGATTCAAACAAGTTAGGAAACTAGACAGTTAATATTTAGCACAGATAGGAAAGCCTATAGGGACGTCCATGTTGATGATGGCTAAATTACAGCCTTCAGTGACTGGCGAGATGGTGGTATATGTAAAGAGGAGGGATTTCTAAGCCAGATATTATAAAATATTAACAAATACTAACATGTCTTGCCCTTACCTAATACATGCTACGTGGCTTCTGATTTTTCTAAGCTATTCTTTATTCCTTTTCAGATCTATCATTTTAGCTGCATCCAGAAATTTGTGAGAACTGCTGAAAACATTTTCTACTGGATATGATAATTGAAAGATCCTGACTAATAACAGAGATTGAACTCTGTTTTACAGAAAAGGAGCTGACAGTGCAGCTGAGCCAAGTTTACTTAGCTGAGGTGAACAGTATATAGCACGAGACAGTAAGATGATTAGTTTGACTGTGAGTTGAACTCAGTAACTTTAAAAATGGATAAAAAGCGGATGCACATTAAAGCTCTGAGAATCAGATGTATAACTTTCTGTGTATTCTAATTGACTTTAAGCTATGGTTCCGTGGTAACATATGATACATGCAGTCTCATAATGAAAGTTTTAATTGTTCTGTTAATATTCTGCCTTCATGCATGGATTATCGTTAGAATAAAATGTTATTGAATAGAAGGAAGGCAGCTTATGTGATACTGTTACTGTACCATCTTGCTGTATTTTTTTTTTTTTTTGCAAGAAGGAGATATAACAAATATAACTTACTGCCTTTACATTGCACCAAAAATATCCTGGCAATGAAAAAGACATTCTAACAATGTTTGTGTAGTGCAGGGATTAGTACTTTTACAGGCAAGTTACAGCCCAACATTTTGAATTGCTAATGAATCTGGACAAATCAGAACAATTGTTGAACAATTAGTGTTGTAATGCTGTAAGCACTAATCATTTTTATAGCGAATGTCTATAATTTCTTACGTGGACAGAAGGCAGAATTCTAGGACATCTTACTGCTATTCAGTTACTGGATTGGTTGAAGGTCAGTTTGATCTAGATGCAATGTGCTTTTGCTACTCAATAACCAACATTTGCAACGTGTTTCACACAGTCAGGGATTTGATGTGCACTGCAGGATGCTGGCAGATAACTGTGGAAGTATCTGCTGCACTTGAAATCCTTATTCTGCATCTATTGTTTGTTTCTGAGTACTGAAAAAATATAGTTGTGGGTTGTATCCTACTCCAAATTTTTAGGACATACCTAAAGTTGAGTTAAAAGTGCTTACATTCTCTATGTAAGCTGCACCTGAGTTAATAATGTCTTTCGGGCTTATGCTGGAATCTCAAAAATTTCAGCCATGTACAGCTGATCAGTATCTTGCTTTGCAGGCAACATATAACTTGTGGCAAGTGTTTGCACCTGCATGTTGTTGTTGAGTTTAAGATGATGCAATAAGATTAAGCAAGGTTTGGAGTTGTTGGAAGTATGTACTGAAACAGGAGGAGCTCTGGGTTTAGGCTGCAACTTTAGGAACTGTGGCTAATCCTGCTATTCTTTCCTGTTATTTCCAGCAACATGCATTAGGCAATTACACAGGTAACTGAGTATGACTTCACAGTCAGATCTCCATTTTGTGGGCTTCTGTTTTGTGATGAAGTCCTAATAACTGTATAAGCCAGACTCCTGCCATCTTTAAGGGCCTAACTGAGATGCAGGAGGGCTTCCCAGGTGGCCAAGAAGGCCAATGGCATCCTGGCCTGGATCAGGAACACTGTGGCCAGCAGGACCAGGGAAGTGATTCTTCCCCTGGACTCAGCACTGGTGAGGCCACACCTCAAGTACTGTGTCCAATTTTGGGCCCCTCAGTTCAGGAAGGATATTGAGGTGCTGGAGCAGGTCCAGAGAAGAGCAACAAGGCTGGTGAAGGGACTGGAGCACAAGTCCTATGAGGAGAGCTGAGGGAAATGGGGTTGTTTATCCTGGAGGAGGCTCAGGGGAGACCTCATCACTCTCTACAACTACCTGAAAGGAGGTTGTATCCAGGTGGAGGTTGGTCTCTTCTCCCAGGCAGCTCTCAGTAAGACAAGAAGGCATGGTCTTAAGCTGTGCCAGGGGAGGTTTAGGTTAGATATTAGAAGAAATTCTTTACAGAGAGGGTAATAAGGCATTGGAATGGGCTGCCCAGGAAGTGGTGGATTCTCCGTCCCTGGAGGTTTCTAAGATGAGACTGGATGTGGCACTTAGTGCCATGGTCTAGTAACCACGGCAGTGTTGGATCAAGGGTTGGACTTGATGATCTCAGAAGTCCTTTCCAACCCAGCTGATTCTATGATTCTTGCACTCTTAACTTGTGACTGTGCAGGACAAAAATAATATTAAGATCATTTTGGGGGCCAGAATATATGCTAGATGTGTGACGTTGGTGTTTGACATGACATCTGTGGTATTACACACACAATGTGACTGGGAGTCACAGTAGAATAGTGTTAAAATGCATGTGGTGATGAAGATCTTCCTTGTCTCTTCAGTATTGTTGAATGTGGAGGACTAGCGGGAAGAAGTGGTAATGCCTCATTAGAGCCATGTAGGTGAGTAACATAGCAGTCAGCAGACTTGAGTGGGTAGGAATGATTTTTACAATACTTACTATGATCAACTACGTCTTTAGGACTTCTGCATTTGTGCTGGTTTCTAACATTATTTGGCTTCACCTATACAGGTCAGTTAACTCATTTGGTTGTGTTATAGTTGGGGAAGGAAATTCATCTGCCTCCCTAGGCAGGAGTCTTACCTAAACATACAGTGAGAGACAGCTACTGCCTCAAAGCTCCTGATCCTATAATGTGAACATGAGAGTTTGTAGGATTCAAACGTAAACTAAAAATGAGATACTGTGAAAAAATCAAACAGTTTTGTTAGCACAGGGGTAGACTTATTGATTTGAGGCATCCATTACAAGCTTTTGTTCCTGGGACAGTTGGTATCCAAAGAACCAGGAAGGAGTTAATTTCATAATTCATTTATTTTCCTTCTGGCTGCTTTGCACCAGTTAAGTGTTAGGAATCAGGAGATGGTACAGTTCTTTCTGGTTTAGGGAGGTTCCTAAACAGTGTGAAACCAGCATAGCCAGCTCATACAGCTGGGGTTTGCCTTTACCGTATGTTGGGGACAGCATTTGGATAAACAATCCCCATGTACATCTGCAGCATTTCATGCTCCAGTAATTACTACCCGGGGGTGATGATCTTTTAAGATTTGTGTGTATGTGTGCGTGTGTGTGGTTTTTACTGTGTAGAAGCTAGAATAGCCTACAGGTCTCAGAATTCACTGACTCATCATCTTCCACCAGCATACAAAATTCAGACTTGCGTAGATGTGACCTTGTACACGTATACACTGGTGTCGAGGCTGACCTCTGTCAGGAACTGTAGTCTAGATGGATAGTAATTCTGCTTTAGTGTGTCATTCAGCCCTTGCGTTTGCAGAACAGACCCTTTACTCCCATTATATTTGTTCCTCATATTTTAGCATTGTCCTATTTTAATAATTTGTACCTTGAAAATCAGGTGATTATTTCAAAACATGGAGTTGTTTTTACTTTCCATTTTTCAATTATGTCCCACATTGATAGCACTCTGGTTTCATCAGGAAATACAGTATATTTGACCAACTATGTCAGCAGGCTGTAACTGAAATTTCAAGGGGGATGCAAGAGTTCAAGGATGCACCAGTATATTTTTCATATAGGCTGTGGACCTTCTTGAAACCTTTGCATTTTATGTGAACAGAAAACCATAACACTTCTAAACAAAAGCATTTTTGGAGACAATGGCAGTGTTGTTACACTTGTGATCTTACCCTGTATTTGGGATAGACATGATACCACAGGTGCAGAGTAGATAAGCAAGCTGGTTTTGCGATGCATTTTCAGAAACAACTGTGTGTTGAGTCGTATAGGTTGTAACATTTAAGACATTCTAGATGTAACCTAATGGCTACAAAGGCAGGGTCCTGGGATTTATAGGGTTTAGGTAGAACTTGCCCATATTTCCATGGTTCTAGAAGCCTGAGTAAGTTCTGGCACATCAGGTTTCCCTGCAGATTGCATGTCATTCAGTGTCCTCTAGCTGACAACAACACACAAAGGTTGAGTCCAGTCTATGATAGGTCCTCCTAAAATGCTTGCAAGTGATATATACTAGAATTTGTGTGAAAATGATCCTGTCCTGTAAGCTCTAATTTCTATTTATGAAATAGAAATGCTGATGTACTAGAAAATTTTGTAGGCTGTGAAAAGCATGTGATGGTGCTGTATTTGCTATGCTTTGATTTCAGTGCTAAAAAAAGAGCATGTACAGTTGATTTGCATAATGAATCAAAACAATATCTCCCACAATGCAGGTCAGGATTTTTTTTCAGAGGATTATTCGGGGATTACTTAGGTTTATTCTTGCACTAAAAGGATGAGCTATACAGTGCAGTCCCACAGCTGTAAGCCACCTTGTTGCTGTGTCCAGTTCCCTTTCTGATGGGCTCTGCAACTTTCCCTGCTGATTTCTGCGTACATGGTTGGCCTCATGACTGCTCATCTGCTGAAGACTGACTGATGTGCTTTACAGTCCTATATGCCTGGAGAGTTGCTAGCTTAATTTGGTGACAAATAACCCTCAACAGAAAGATCTATTCAGACGTCATTCCTAGGACTAACCCCTAACAATATCTTTGATCTTGAAAGTTCCAAGTGACTGGATTCCTAATTCACCCAGATATACATTCATTGCCAGATGGAGCAGTGTACTTCCTGAAAGCATTATGTGCTGCACAGCAGGAGGTGCATGCAAGCGGAACTGCTATAACAATACTAATGATGATCATTCTAGTGATGGGCAGTGTCTGCACTCCAGTGATTTATACTGTTGTTGTAGAGGAAAAAAGTCTAGCCCACAGTATTCAGGAAAAACTCTGCTGGAATGTCCCTAACAATCAGCTTACTAGTGAAAAATGCAGAACATATTTGAGTCTATCATCCCAGTTAATACAGTCTTTTTTTTTTTTCTATCCCATATTCTTTCCAGTTTCTTGAGAATATGGAGTTGCATCTGGTTGATGCTAGGGGTGGGCTAGAGCTGTGAATATGAACTGCTTAGGCAAAACAAGTTACCTTGAATTCAGATAAACTTCCATGTTTGCTCTGTTTCTGACATTTTTTGTTCCAACTAGTGTTATAAAACAGTTGTGTAAAATAAGTACTAGTTCTGGCTTTAGTTACAGCTGTCTTTTCAGGCTGAGAGCTAAGCAGCATCATCAGGGTTTAGAGAAGCAAGCTTCAAGATTGCTTAAAGATAGATTGTAGGACCAAGACACAGTGAAGTTGCTTTGGAAATGCAAAGCTGGTGCATGCCATAAGTAGAAGTTTGTCTCATATTGTTTCTCAGCTGAGTAAGTGGCTGATTTTCATCTTGGAGTTGTGTAACATTATTTCTTTCTGCAGGAATACCATTGGGATACCAACTGCTGAATTTTCTTGGGAAAAAAAGAATGCCATGGGGCACTTCCATCATGGTAATGGGACAGAGTTTACCTCTGATACCAGAGTGGGGAGCTGTGGTCACCTTGCCTGGATCATGCAAAAGGTGAAGAGCAGAGGCCCCATCTTCCATCACTTGGCTCCCTACTGTGGGCACCTGCTCCCTGTGTGGCATAAGGAGGGGTAAGATACTGATTTTTTTTTTTTTTTTTTTTTTTTTTTTAATACCAAGGAAAAACCCACAGGAGGGCTGAAGGGAGATTAGGCTCTACCCTGGGAAGGTCTGGCAGGAGGTTGCTGCTTTCTGTAACTGTCTCAGAAATACAAGTGGGGAATTCAAAGTACAAGACAGATGAACAAAGAAGGCAACAGAGTGGAACTAGTAACAGCCTCAGGGAAAACCAGAGCAGACAGGGAAGAGTGTTACAAAGTGCTCATCAAATTTACATGCAAATAGTAATGCTAACATTGTACATGATTAACCAGAATCCCCTGCAAAGTCAAACAGGAATGAATAAGACAAAGACTTTGTGCAGCTCTGAAGCATTTGGCTGTTACTGCTACATGAAACTGCTGGCAATCTGCTTTGTGAGCAAAGTTCATGGCATCTGTGATTACATGCTGCACATTGAATTTGGCAAAAATAATGTAGTTAATCAGGAAAAGCAACTTGTTTACTAACACTCTGAAAGACAGTATACTGTCATTCAAGTTCAAATGTAAAAGATTAACATTACTGTAAGAAATTAGATTGGCAAGAGCTTTTGGTAAAATGTTTGGAGAGAATCAGTTGGAATTAAGATGTTGACTGCAGAATTTTCAAACTCCTGGTCTTGTGGCAAGGAAACACTGGCTGCCTTTGGACACATGGGTGTGGTTCAAAAGGTAAGTCCTAATATCTCCTCACTGCCATCAAAGGCTACAGAAATCCTTCACTAAAGCAAAATCAGCAGACTGACATTTCAAAACACCAGTGCTGAATCAGGGGCTTTACAAATTTTACCACTGTAAACAAAGAAAAGTGAATACTGAGAAGTATTTACACCAAGAGAAACAAACAATCAGTGTTGTGCATCAGAGGAACACAAAGTATGTGGAGTGAAGCATGCTGTTAGTATTGCATAATCAACAGCTGTCTCTGCTCTTTTGACAGGGATTTTTTCCCTGTGAGTAAAGCTGCTTCTTCGCATAGATTTTTTTTTCCCCCTTCCCAGTTGCTAACTTTTGACTAAGTTTTCCTCAAGGTGTCTGAATCATATCTTATGAAATAGTGCTGGCTGATCCCTGCAGGGCCCTCACAAGAGATACAGAAATCTTCAATTCCATGTTAGCAGCATAATGTTAAACTATACAAAATGGAGGAAACACCTTCTGAAAGATTACCATTTTCACCTTTGTACTCACTCTTGTGGCAGGTGTGGTGATGACTATCTGACAATTGCTTGAATTTCTACAACAAAAAGATGGAAGAAATTTTACATTTTGCTTTCTTAATCTAGAATTCCTCTATTCCAATGTCTTTGCATATAATTAAAAAATGTATTTTCTAGGGTATGTTTTCAGGCAATAGTTAAGAAGTTTTATTTCTTATATATTAACTCATTGCTGACTGAAATTCAAGACAAAATACAAAGCAGATATTGAAGGTTTATTTAGAACAAGTACTTTCCTGTAACAAAATTCAGAAAAAGGAAATTTTGTTCCTTATGCATACTTACGTAGCTTGTCTATATATGAGATGTCTTTAAGAAGAAATGGTTCAGGTTATGGTATTTCAAGAAAAGACAATTTGCATTTTATTTGCATTGCTTTTCAACAAACATGGCAGTTCAGCATTTGTTTTTAGAATGATTAAATCTCAGTATTTTTAATATGCAACTTTATGGTAATTGCCACTTCATGTTATTTTATTTTAAAATTACTTACAAGAAGATGTATTTTTCTGGATTTTGATTATGAAACATTTTCCCTGTTGCTTCTAAGGCATGCCAGATTTGCTGTTTCTTTCATCTGATTTAATCATACAATAAAAGTGGTGTAAATGCTACATAAGAATACAGGTGTCAAAGCCTAGGAGACACGTAATACTCAATGCAGCAAGGATTTCACCAACACCTGCAAGGCCAGTTACATTTTCTAGCTTCATCTCCCTTAAGGTTTATTCCATTTCAGATTTCATCTTCGTGAAAGAAATGGATCTCTGGACTGGCTCTCACACAACCTTTCAGAGGTTAATTCTGACCTGATGTAAACTTTCTATGCACCACAGATATATCAGTACAGTCAGAAAGAAATTTAGCCAGAAATTCAGGTTTAATCCATGTAGGTTTGGGGGTTTTTTCCCACATTTTCCCATATTATATATTCAATCACTCTGTTATTTCAAAGTTAACATTTTTAATTAATTATTTTTCTGGCTCTGACTCAGAGAACCTGGCTGGATTGTTCTCCAGCCTTCCAGTATCTTTGGTCAGGATCACAGTGCATGTACTTTAAATGGTATTAATTTCTTTTGGGTATGGAATGCTTTTCAAATACAAAAACAAGCAAGGCAGAGACACTATAATAGGAATATAGTAACTTACTTGGGTTCAGTTATCTATTGTGAACTCTAAGTGAGAGCAAACTGGAGATTGGGCTCACCACCCATGGACTGGGGAAGAACGCAGGGATTCGGGGTGTATGGTTGTCAATAGATTCCAGACCTCTAGTGGACACAATGGAGATATGCTCATGGAAACGTGAATACTGCATAGGGAAACCCTATGTACTGTTGGGCAAAAGCTGCTGAAAAGCCTCTTTCAAAGGCTTATTTGTGCAAAACTGAACAAATATCATGTCCCATCATTCACTGTAGCTTTAAGTGCAGGGGTTCCAGAAAATCTGTTAACATTACCTGATTTTTTCAATTAATTTCAAAATCCTAATTGCTGTTTTAACTAAACAACTACAGTGAGACATTCCTGAAACTGGAGGACAAGAAGCTGGAGGATGGCCTTGCAGAAAGAGATCTGAGGTTTTGGGCTGGGGGCAAGTTGAATATGAGTCAGCAGTGCCCTGGCAGCCAGGAGGGCCAACTGTGTTGTGGGGGGGAGCATCAGGCAGCCGGTTGAGGGAGGGAATTGTCCCGCTCTGCTCTGCACTGGGGTGGCCTCACCGTAAATATCGTGTGCAGTTTTGGGCAGCACAAAATAAGAAAGATATTGAGCTCTTAGAGAGTGTCCAAAGGAGGGCAACAAAGATGGTGAAGGGCCTTGAGGGGAAGCTGTATGAGGAGCGGCTGAGGGCACTTGGTCTGTTCAGCCTGGAGGAGACTGAGGTGACCTTATGGCAGCCTACAGCTTCCTCATGACGGGAAGCAGAGGGGCAGGCACTGGTCTCTCTGGTCACCAGTCATAGGACATAAGGACATGGAATGAAAGTGCATCAGTGAAAGTTTAGACTGGACATTTGGGAAAGGCTCTTTGCTGAGAGGGTGGTTGATCACTGGAACAGGCTCCCCAGGAAAGTAGTCTCCAAGCCTGTCAAGTTCAGGGAGCATCTGGATGATGCTTAGTCATATGGTTTAATTTGAAGTAGTCATAGAATATCTCAAGTTGGAAGGGACCCATAAGGATCATCCTACAAGGAGCAGCGAGTGTGACTCAGTGATCCTTATGGGTCCCTTAATCATATTGTATGATCCAAAGGACTACACTGTGGGTGAAGAAGGCTGAAATGCAGTAGACTGTGGCTTCTCTTCCTCTACAGCTGATGCCTCCTTTCAGTCACTGCATGAAAGATATTTAGGAGCTAAGAATTTCTGTACTTGCAATTAGGCTTTCTTATACCAAGGAAATTTCTACCTAGGATGCCAGTGGTGTTGTCACTTTGCTTCCTTGGCCTCCAGCTAATACTGAAGTGTTGCATGTTGGGCACAGCGACACTCAGTGGAGGTGTGACTTTGTTTAGGCCATGATAGCTTACTGTCAGTCTCCACTCTCCACTGGACTTACGCACTGGTCATATAAGACTGACTATTAAAGGGTGAGCGAGCCTTGCTGACCACCCCCTGGCTCTCCAGTACACAAATTGTTTCATGGATGGGGGTCACAGAGCCCTGGTTGGTGCAGTATTGCTGATGGGGCACTGATATGGTAGTGATTGGTACCTGTTGTTCTTCTACCCTCAGCAGTCCCACAGCAAAAGGGTCCTCTGAGAGACCAGGCAAGGTATTCAGCTGTCTAATTTTCTCTGTCTCCACAGCAGCTATCTCAAAAGCCCAAGAATGCCCTTTTGGGTCCTTAAGTACCCTCTCCTGAAGTAATCTTTGCCAAAGATGCATGGGGCCTCTGGGCCAGTCACAATGGGGTGTTCTTGCCATTCACTCCCAGTCAAGCTCACTTGAGCTTCCAGTACAGTCAGCTGTTGGGATCCCCCTGTCACCCCAGAAATAAAGATAGGTTCTGCCCCTGCATTCTTGATGGCATCAAGCATCTTGATGGCATTGTGTGCCAGTGTCAACTAAAGCCTTATACCCTTGTGGGTTTGATGTGCCAGGCCACTGGAGCCCCACGGTCCAATAGATCCAACTGTCCCTTTCCAGTACCTGGCTGGAGGCATGGCCTCTCTAGTTCTGGTTTATAGTACTTGTTGCTCACTTCTTGTAAATAGGAACTGGATGTTCTTTCAAGAGGACCGGAAATAACATCAGCCCTTCTATTCCGTCAGGGGACTTGCCCACTGGAAACTGGAGCAACATTTATCCTTGAAGAATTTCCTGCGGTAGTTGTTCTTCCTCTCAATTCATGTACCCATCTGCTAGGACAGAGGTGAGTTTTCTATCCCCCTTCCTCATGTCCTCTCCTTGGTCATGCAGATAAAAACACAGGTTACCTCGTGGTGTGTACCCACTCTCTCAAACAGGGGGGGTGCTTGCTCCCAGTAGCAGAAACTCTGGTCCATACCGGTGGGGCATGGGACATTTCCTCTAATTTGTGCAAGTCTTTCAAATCTGTCCAGTCTTGGACAGTCTTTCCACAGCCAAGGTACAGATTGGTAGGGAGGAAAAAAAGACGATCTTCATATTGCTGGAGTCAGGTAGTCACTGGAGCACTGTTTTTCTCCTTCTTTCACTGATATTGTGAAAGACGGAAATGTTAATGGTTAATGACTCAAAACAATCAGCCATTTGTGGAGGTGGCAGGGTGTTTTGCTGGGCCTGGGTTTACAGCTCCCTGCCGAAGGGGAGAGGAGAGTTTGGGTGTGAAACCTCTGATGCAGAGGGCATGAGCAGCAGAGGATAATGATGACAAATCAACCTTTGTTTAGCAAGAAACAGCGTTTTAAGTCAGATAAGGGAAGAGGCTGATCCTTCAAGGTGGGATGGTGCTTTTCATCATGCCAGTGTCCTCCCTTCTACAATTGGCTCAGCTGTAAAACTCTCCCCTGGGGAGATATTGGGGCATTCATGTATGGGCCTGAAGGTATTCATCCCTTCTGATGGGGCATAATTGGCTCAAATACACTGACATGAGAGGCAGCTGTCATGTCTTAGAAGATGTCATAAACCATCAAAGACCCCTAAAGCACCCCCAGACTCATTTCTGGATCTTTCCACCACAGGACCGCACATGATCTACACTGCTGAATCAGAGTGTAAAGCTCCACCCCCGGGGAAGTTACCAGGGCATTCCCAAGTAAACCTAAAGGTATATTAACCCGCTGAACTCCGTGTTTTGTGGGCTTTCTGCCATCCATGATGGATCAAGACTGCAACCATCACTTTGACCAACGGACATTGAAATACCAACAATCAAGTCTTGTCACTGGATCCACGGGTGGTGATATCTTTCTACTCTTATCCTTCCTTTCTTTTCCTTATATTTTCTTAAGTGATATTTTTATGCTTTTATATTATTATATTACTTTAGATAATAATAACTAAAAGGGCTACATACCTGCTCTTCATTGCAACCAGACTGTTCTTAAATAAACCCTACATACATATATATAAACCTACATATTTATAAACACTGGTCATTCAGTGTCTTTTCACTCTAATCTGCCCAAAGGGATCTATTAACTTGAATTATCCTTGTCCTCAGGCGTGGGTTGTAACAGACATGAATGCAAATAAATTGTTGTATGACAATGGTGTGGTCCATACAAGCTTCCACCACATGGATTGTGTACACCTCTGCTCATTATTTGAATCTCTGTAGCTTACCACCAGCACAGCTGATTCTCTCAGGACTGGATACCTTGTACTGGATACCTTTCTTCATAGTCTTCCACCTGCTTGGGTGCACTATTAGACCATCCTTGAGAAAATAACCTTCCCTCCTGCTTGACAGGAGTTGCCTCCAGAGGCTGAGAGATTCCTCTTCCCAATCCTCTTTTAATTCCCACATCCCAGGACAGGGATCCCAGTTTCCTGGCTTCACTACCATCTAGTGTCATATCGTGGGCTGCAATATCCCAGCATTGGAGCAGCCTGGTCACCAGGGGCTCACCCAACTGGTGACTGGAATATTTTTGCATACCTTACAGCTCACCCAGGGATAGGGATTGGACAGAAATCTCTAGCCCTGGCTCTTCCTCCTGTCATGAGGGCCCTGCTTCCTCTTCATCCCTCACTTTGTGAACTGATTTGGTCTTGGATTTCTTCTGTATAGGTGGGACTGCTACTGGCACTAGTTATTCCAGTGGTTCAGCTGCAGTTTGAGTGGCAACAGTGCCTATTGTTCTGCTTTTCCTCCTCCTCCCCCTGAGGATGCCATCTAATGACCATCAGTGTCTGATAAATAGTAGCCAGGGCCCAGCACACTGCATAACTTTGTGCCTCTTTCAAGCTGCCACAACATTTTTCCTTCACATATTCTACCACTTTATCAGGGTCCTGTAATTGCTCGGGGTGAACTTCCAAACCGTTAGAGCAGAGTAATCCTTCAAAAGTTGGCCATTTTATCCCCATGTCACTCATGACTCATTGCAGATCTCTGAGTGACCTTCCTAGAAATCTCTACCTCGATTCTAAACATGATGTGGACTGCACTGAGGAGACCTGGCAGACTTAGCAACAAAACCATGCTTTCCTCAATATCCAGAGGCAATTCACAATTCTTAAAAGCTGTTGTAACAGGCTTGAAGTAGAAAAAGGGGGTGAAAAGCTGGGGAAAATCATCCTTCCCTGTTCCACCCACAGACTGGGTACAATTAGTAATGGGCTCCCACAGGCAGCACCCAAGGTAAGGATAGGAGAGCAGCACTGGATACATATCCCAAATGACTCTCACTGCCCTTGATGTTATCGTGCCATAAACTGATACAGTACATTAACAAAGCAATCCTGATCCCTCTTCCTACTCTAAAAAATATCATCATGAGGGGCACAAATGAGAATATATACAGGGTTAGGTACCCCAGCCACACGAACAGACTAAGGAACACTGTGACCAGTGTCTCCACACCCAATACAACAAATGCTTAAATCAATTTTATTTCCAACCTGCTCTGGCCAGATCTGTTGTTATCTCAACCCTTTGTGCCCCACACTGGGTGCCAAATAAGGCTGTCCTGATTTAGGAAGGGTACTCCCCAATGTAGTGCTCCTGATGAGACCCTCCAAACCATGCTGCCAGTCGCTCACTCCCCCACCCTCTCTCCCCTCCCTCCGAGGCCAGATGGAAAGGGGAATTGGAGGCACAAAAGGTAAAGATCACAGGTTGAGAAAAAAAGCAATTTACTAGAAACAGCAATGAGATACGAAAACGAACAGTAACAGCAACAATATTAATAACAAAAGTATACAAAAAAAAGTATACATGCAAAAATGCTCACCATGGAGCTTGACCCGACTCCACTGCAGCCACACCACTGCAAGAGAAAGGAACCCCTTCTCTCTGAAAGAGACTCCCCCGTGCCCCTGGTAATGATGAAGGGTCCCAGCCATGCCCCCTCCTGCCTACTGGAAAAATTAAACCTGTCCTGGCCAGAGCCAGGACAAATATGAACTGAGAATATCACAAACTATCACACACACTAGTTAGTATTAATAACAATAAAGACATCTATCTTCTGTGGTGATATACCTCAATACCTAAACAGATTTCTTCATGTGAATATGTATCAGTGATGTCACAAAGTAGGACACTTGGCGCAGTGTCACCCACTGCATTCAGTGTAAACATTTAGATGGTCAAAACTGGATTTATTTACAAAGATTTTCATGCATGGCAACTGACTTTTTCTTCTAAAATTATATAAAATATATTTAAGAAAAGGATGACATTGCATATTTGCATGAATAACAATGAAAGAAGAGGAAGAATACTAAATAGCTTAACTAAAATCAGCAAATAGTTGAACTGAGGTAAAGTTACAAAACAACCAACCTTTGTCATCGATTACAGGGCTAAAAAGCAGTTCAAATCTCCAAGCCAAGAACTGACACCCGAAGAAGAGCCAACCCTTATTCCTTGATATTTTGAAGTAGCCTTAATAAATGAGACTCAATAACCTGTTGAACTAAAGCAGAGAAAAAAGATGGGGTTAATCAGTGTTCATTTTTTTTCATTTTTTAGGGTTGTAATGTTTTTTCTGCCAGATGCCTGCTTGTCCTGTATAATGATTTATTAAAAGCCAGACAGGAATAATTTACTCTGTGAAGAGGGTTTGCATCCCTTCAGAAAATAAAAGCCTTACATAACGCAAAAACAACACATCCAGGAAGGCAGATGATGGGTTTTGGGGGGCCTCATCTGTTCTGTGGTTTGAATAGGTTGATAGCATATGGAAAGCAAATTTTTAGCCTACAAATGGAAAGTAGGGAAAAAAATTATTAGGAATGTCTTCTGTGGAACATTCTGAGATTGAGCTTTTGAAGCAGTCCTACATCTAGACATTTGTGAAGTTACTGGCTCATTCATAAGCACAGGGCTCTGCTTGGACAAGCAGCACATCCAGTGCTGGGAGAATTTTTTTGTTCAGTTCATTTCTGTGATGGCAGACATTTCACAGCTTTCAAAATGAAGGCAGCATGAGGAAAAACACCAGTGAAGAGTCCCTTCTTTGCTTCTGTTTTCCATAACCAAGTGAGGTAGTATATTCACTACTGATCCTATTACTGTGTGCCTCCAAGACAAACTAGAGATAGAGCTGGTCTGACAGGGGAAGAAGGTTTTGCAAACTACATCATTACATGCCAGTCAACCAGAGTGAGGGGTTCAGGACAGCTGCAGGCCTCTTACAATTGTCCAGTGCAACACACTGCTTGTACAGGGATGGGGGAGCAGCTCGGCTCCCCTTGTCTAAATCATGGCTGCATCAGCCCTAAACACCGATATTTGGGCCCACTGATGCAGATCCAGGTCAGTGACATTTTCTTACTAGGTACCTGGCTTTCTGAAAAAGGGATGGAAGCCCCTACCCATTTTGGCCTGATTCATTTAGGTGTATTAAGACTTGTAGGACAGGTAACATGTTGAATGCTGCAAAACCTCTACCAGGCCATTACAGCAGCTACATATACAAGGAGCTGTAAAAACTAAAATTTTTTTAGAAGAGTTTACATTTGCAATACTCACCACTCCGATAGCCCAAGGCTACAGCCAAATCCATGGAATTATAGCCAGCATCTGTTTCGATAGTTGGATCAGCACCATTTTCTATGTAAAATAGGAACAGACTTGTATTTCTGACAATGACAACTGATAGTACATTATTACTAGTAATTCTGTTTGGACAGTCTGCTTACCAAGGAGAATTTTTACACATTTCACATGGTTCCCATGTACTGCATATAGTAAGGGTGTGCCTCCATTCTGCAAAAGCAGAGAAATGCCTTAAGACACTTAGTGATTAAACAGTCCGTGATTTTAATTCCCTAACACACCAATATGCTTCTATGTATCAGTAAGAGACTTCATAGATTTTATGAAAATGAGGTTGTTTTGGATCTTCACAACTTCCATCTTTTTTGTCTATTTTTTAAACTTTAAGCTCACACTTCTACAAGGAGCCAGCATTAATCTCATTCTCTTTCTCCCAAGAGGTCAGAACTAGTAGAACCAACTTCTCTTATCCTATGCAAGTTTTGAAACTCTCAAATATTTCAGAAGTAGAACAATTTTTAAATCCAAGCCAGTGCTATGTCCTGCTTCAGTTTTCTGACCAAGGCACCCTCTGACATAAATTTAAGCTAGAGTCTTACCCAGTCATACTCATTGACATCAACTCCACAGTCGAGCAGCATTTTGACAATATCTGTGTACCCTTTACTGCAGGCCAGTGAGAGGGCACTTTCTCGCCCCTTCCCCAGGATCTGAGGATCTGCACCCTGAAATAAAAGTATCAATTTAAAAACAAGAAGCAAATTTGAGGTTTTACATAGAACTTAAATTTAAACCATTTAACTCTATAGCAGCATTGACAAACTTAAGAAGGCAAAATGAAGTAATGGGTAAATAAATTTAAAATGTAGTGTGGTTTTTTATCTTACATTCTGGAGGAGAAATTCCACTACTGCTATCTGCCCATGAGCTGCAGCCCACATCAGAGGGGTAAATCCTTCTTCATCCTTATGATTGATTAAATTTTCTGTTTAAAGAAAAATATATAACTTAGTAATCCCTTTCACTAATGCACTGTGTGAGCTGGTGAAATGTGTTGATGTATCCATGGTGAATACCATATATTCACCAGGTACCAGCGTGGCCTAAAAGTCATTCTCATCTCAACTTTCAAAACAAAATTCTCTCCCATTGGTGGTGGAAATATCTTTGTCCAAGAAAAAAAAACCACATCCAACTGACCACAGTAAAATTTAAACTTTTAGTTTAATAGTTTAAAATTTAAGTTTTTAAACTTTATAAACTCTGTTTTTATTTAGAAATGTTACAAGTTGTTTGTAATCTGGGCTTTATCTTTGGAAAGAAGAGAAAGGATATTTGAAAAATAAAAAGGTACATTCTGTATTATACTGTACGCAATGGTTTTTTTCAATACAGTGAGCCACACAATCTTGTAAAGAATGCGCCTATACAGCAATATAGATAGAACAACTTAATTCCCCTCAAAGTTCATGTAATCAATAAGGTGGTCTGTGAAAACAATTAAGGTCTACATCTAGTGCAGCTAGGAAAAAAAAAAAAGCTTTTTTT